CTAACTTGCTCTATAAACCTTCATCTAATGCACACACAAAAAAAATGGTGAAGGGACAACTGGATAGCCACATGCAAAAGAATGAAGTTGGACACTACCTCCCACCATTAACTCCATATACAGTCTACATATAAAAAATGGATCAAAGACTTAAATTTAAAAGCTAAAACAATTAAATTCTAAGTATAAAAGAAAACACAGGAGTAAATCTTCATGATCTTGGATTGGGCAAAAGATTCTTACATGACACCAAAAGAATGAGCAACAAAAGAAAAAAGAGATAAATTGGTCTTTATCAAAATTAAAAACTTTTTGTGCTTCAAAGGAAACCACCAAAAAAGTGAAATGACAACCCACAGAATGGGTGAAAATATTTGCAAATCATATATCTGATAAGGGTCTATTATCTAGAATACATATAAAGAACTCTTGTAACTCAATAATAAAAAGAAAATAACTCAATTAAAAAATGGGCAAAGGATCTGAATAGACATTTATCCAAGGAATATATATAATAGCCAATAAGCACATAAAAATATATTTGACATCATCAGTCATCAGGGAAACGTCACTCAAAATCACAGTGAGACACCACTTCACACCATTAGAATGGCTAGAATCAAAAAGTCTGATAATAACAAGTGTTGTGGATGAAATCACAAGGATGTGGAGAAATCAAAACCCTCTTACACTGCTGGCTGGAATGTAAAATGGTTCAGCCACTTTGCAAAATGGTCTGGCAGTTTCTCAAAGGATTAAATATAGAGTTACCACATGACCCAGCAATACCATTCCTTGGTATATACCCAAGAGAAGTAAAAATGTATGTCCATACAGAAACTTGTAAATAAATGTTTATAGCCAAAAGCCATTTGGGAGGAAAAAAAAAAAAGATATTTATAATAGCCAAAAAGTAAAAGCAACCCAAGGTCCATCAACAGATGAATAGATAAACATTATTCTAGGTAAAGAAGCCAGTCACAAAAGACCACATATTACATGATGTTACTTATATGAATTATCCAGAAAAGGGACATCTATAGAGACACAAAGTAGATTAGGGATTGTTTGGGCTGGGAGGAGGGATAGAAGCTAAAGGGTACAAGGTTTCTCTTTTAGGTGATGAAATTGTTTTAAAATTGACTGTGGTGATGGTTCCACATACTGTGAATTTATTTTAAAAAAACCACTGAATTATATAACTTAAATGGTGTGTGAATTATATCTCAATAAAGGTGTTAAAAAAATAAAAAAGATAATGATAGTCTGAATAAAAATAGCATGATGAAATAAGAAGATGGATTCCAGAGATACTGAAGAGCTAAGGATTAAGTGCTTGGCTGCTAACCAAAAGGTCAGCAATTCGAAAATCACCAGATGCTCCATGGGAGAAAGACTGGGCAATCTGCTCCTGTAAAGAGTACAGCCTAGGAAACCCTAAGGGACAGTTCTAGTCTGTCCTATAGGGTTGCTATGAGTTGGAATCTACTCGATGGCACTAACAGCAATGACAATAAGTCAACAAGAACTGTGATTGACTGGATACGAGAAGTGGGGAGAAGGAGCTGTCAAGGATGACTCCCAGGTTTCTGGGTGGATAGATCATGCTCTCCCATTTACTAGGAGAACAACTTAGTTAAGCTACAACTTGTAGATTTATAAAAATTAATTTCCATGTCTACAGTTAAAAAATACTGTCTGGAGGACCTCATACCATCAAGAAAGCAGTGCCGGGAGCAGAGCACGTCCTTTGGACCGGGGTCCCTGCGCAGAGATGCTCCTAGTCCGGGGGAACACTGATGAGAAGGTCGAGAGAGAGAAAGCCTTCCCCTGGAGCTGACACCTTGAATTTGGACTTTTAGCCTACTTTACTGTAAGGAAATAAACTTCTCTTTGTTTAAAAAAAAACTGTCAGATAGTTAGTAACATCTGGCCAATGTTGCTGCTGTGTTGCCTCAGAAAAAGGAAAAATGCATTAAACTTCACCAGTGCCATGATTTCATGACTGATCTTCTTTCCACAGTGCCTCCATTACTTACTGGTGCCTTAAAAAAACTGGCATTAATCTCAAAAGGGCTAAGGGCTATGAGTCATTAAAACAAGGCAGCAGGATCATTCCATGCTGCCCACTACTTGTTCAGGGATGAAAGGGAAGACAGTTGCAATGGCATTAGAAAGAATCCAGAGTTTTGATTTTTTTTTTTGTTTTTCAAAAGTATGGATTTTGTAACTTTGTCCACTGAAAGGATCAGAAGTAACGACAACCCAGTAGCCATGAACACAGTGCCTAGACTGTGTGTTCTAAACACTCTTCTCCATTAAGAGGAACCAGTGCATGCTGGAAGACTGGCTGATTCACAGGTCTGGGATAAGGCATTGCTCACTGGCCTAGTACATCTTATCATACCAGAAAGCAAGGAAGTTATCAAAGAAATAAGCCTGGTCAAAAGAACTTAGGAGCCAGTAAAGAAAAACACTCCAATTGGATAAATATGGGGCATCAAAAAGAAAAATGAATGCAACTGTCTAAAGCATATGAAAAGTTGAGTTCATAATACTAAAAAAGAAAGAGAGAGCACCCTTCCCATCAAAAACAAACGTACACACACACAACAGTCATTGTACATCACTAGAAGTACCTTGAGCATAAACTGCTTATTCAAAAACTTGGCAATTGAAAGGAAATAATTAAGCATTTATCTAGCTTTTCTTGTTACAAACTATAATTTAAGGTTAATAAATAGACCTGGTTTATAATAGAAAATTCTTTACAGAATGCCAGGTAATGAAAGTGGAAAGAATAAAACAATTAGAAAACTGTCACTGTGTAATGCCTAGAGAATTAATTTGAGCAACAATCATTAATGGATAAAACAATTACATAAAAGGTTGAAGGGGAACTTTAAAACGGAAGTAACCATCTGAATCTACTAATTACTAAAGTGGGAAAAGTAGACATTGGATGTACTAGGCATCACCTATGAAGTTACCTTGCGAAGACACAAAAAAAGCTAAATCTGAATCTAATCAAGCATCTAGAGCTAATTTCTATTTAAAAGAAATACATGGAATTGTGGGACAAAGAAACACACAAGAAAATACACAATTTGGGACATTCTGTATGAGTGGGAAGCGACTCGACAGCAACAGGCTATGTGACAACTGACCTGGTTCTGCAATGAATCAGTGTCATGAAAAAAGGCCGGGGGAGGTGTGGAGGAACTGCTCAGATTAAAGAGCTGAGAGAGGTAACAACCAAATATAATGTGTGGACCCTATCCTGATTCAAACAAACCAACTCTAAAAAGATAATAAAAGGGGTATCTGATTACAAACTGAGTAGCAGAAGATATCAGGAAGTTATTAATTTTGCTACTGGTATTGTGGATACATAAGACAATGTCCAAACTTTTCAGAGATTTATACTGGAATATACAAGAGTGAAATGACTTGATGTCTGCGATTTGAGGGGAAAAAAAGGACAAATCTCTGCTGAATCCAAGTTACAGGTATATGGGGGTTCACTGTATTATACACATTGTATTACACACATTGTACTACACTCATATTTTGTATATACTGGTAAATTTTCACAATAAAACATAAAAAGAATAACCTCAAGATGGTGAAGTCAATCTGGTCTTCAAAAAATTATTATCACTTGCAGAAAATAACTTTTAATCTCAAAACAATGCATACATACTAATGGGTTGTCATGGTACTATCCTCTAATTCCTAAAGGTATCCAAAAAATCAAACCAACTGCCATGGAGTAGATTGTGACTCATGGTGACTCCATGTGTTTCAGAGCAGAACTGCACTCCATAGGGTTTTCAAAAGCTATGACCTGTTGGAAGTAGATCACTAGGCCTTTCCTCCAAGATACCTCTGGGTAGATTCGAACCACCAGCCTTTCGATTAGTAGTGCTTAACCGTTTGTGCCACTTAACCATTTGTGCCACTCAGGGACTCCTCCAAAAGGTATAAAAGTGCCCAAATTTCCTTGCTAGGCAGAAGAATTGTACATTTTTCCATAATTTTTTCCTTTGGGTTAAAGGAAAATTAAGAAAGTAGATTACTCTTATAGATTCTTTCCCGTAAAACAATGCCCATGAGATATTTAGTTATATCCAACCCCTGCTCTCCTCTCTCCCTCAGCAGATGGCTTTATCTTGTAATTCACAGAGACATGGAAACCATCATTTCTGGATTTCCTCAACTTCCTGCCTCCATGTACAGAATGACTTACACTCTGCCTCCCACTCTTTCTTCCTGAATTAATGCTGAGGGTGTGACCCCTCCCTTTCAAGCTAATTCCTTTCTCTGTTCTCAGGGTCAAAGCTGTATTAATAACATCCTTTCTGACCTATATCTTCCTCTCCCATTCAAGACGCTCAGGGTCAACAACGACCTCTGTATTTTTAAATCCTTATACCTCTTTGACTCCCTCAAAAAGTTAAGGCAGTATCATTAATTTCCATGGTAAAAATATTACCTCTACTACTGATTTTCAAATTTGATTCCATCTTCAAATACCTAAGGGAGAGGAAGAGGATAACAATACTTCTACTTAAACTGCTCTGATTTTATTTGTTTGACATGTGGGGGTTCTGTAAAAGATTTCATTTAAAAACAGTGTTCTACTACTTTACCAGAAAATTCTACTGCTTTAAAAACCAGGAATCTATATGTCATCAGTTTCATTTACAATTTTAAAAATTATTTATGATACTCTTTTTATCTTAGCACTGCCTCTATTAGAAATGAATCTCATAAAGTCAGGGATTTTGTTCCACTCACTACTGTATCTCAGGGCCTCAAATATTTATTGAATGAATAAATGCAGCCAGGATGGAGAATTAACAGCTGACTGCACAAAATTCAAAAAATTGACATTCATTTTGCTTCAGTACAAACTGTCAGTATTTTCTTAAGCCATAATCTTGATATTCATTTAATTTTAATCAACAATTCATATAATATTCTCACAGCTGCCTTACCCTGTGTCTTCCATTAATGCTAGAGTGATTCGAGAGAGGACTCGGTTCTGGGTGTGAGAGCCCGTCATTGCTTCATTCTGAAAACCAGCAACAAGTTATAATTAGATTGGACTAGAGTCTTGCCACTCCCAGTAATAGCTATGATTCCTCTGATGTATATTTAAAATACCTTAAGTGTGAGCAGTTGATAAAACATTCACTTAAAAACAGTGAAGTACATAAACCTTCTTTAAAGAGACAAGACTGATGCTTAAAGTGAAATCTATTTTCTTCCTCAAATGTCTCCACTGTGTACAATTTCTCCAGAATGGTAGGCAACTGGCATTTAGAACTCTGTGATGAAAATGAAGACGGATATA